TGAGTTGGAACTGGAGGCATGGAGAGCTGTGTGAGGATCAAGGGTAAATGACTGGGAATTTCCAAAGCCGCATGCAAGGCGCTGTTCATGTATGAGAAGTCTAAACAGGAGTTCGAAAAAGCTTATGGGTGGGTTGGGACGTTGCGATGCTCAATTTAGTCACCAACTAGCATAATTTTGAAAAACGTCCATCACGTAATGGCATTAGAAGGCATCATTTCTGTTACAGGCCGATATAACAGATAGAATAAAATTGATATCCATAACGGTCATTAACGGGTTGTAATGGTTGTTACCGGGTGTAACAGGTTTACCCATGACAATTTTTGCTAAATTTTTGCCCATTTCCTAATTTTTCTCAAAAAATTGAAACGATTCTCAAAAAACCCCCAAAATTGCAAGCCTTGCCGAGATAAACCACAGTTTTCAATCAAATCAATTGGGTTGGTAAATAATAGCAAAAAAAATTAGTTTGGTAAGAAAAATCACACAAAATTGATGGAGCTCATGCATAAATATTGATATCACGGTCTTCTTCGATAACGACCCTAATCTTTTCAACCCGCGTTTCAAAGTCTCTTTGCCATTGGCACCATGCATTGGCCATAAAACCCCTTTATTTCTTGGAGTTTACAGACAAAGAAAGTGGTTTCCTCCGTAGTTTATTCTTCCTTTTAGTTTAGTTCAAAAACTACAGCTTATTGGGCCGTAGACAATGGGTAGGCACTGAGAAAGAGATATATATGAATAAAACAACATTTTGCATTTTTGCAAAAGAAGGGTATCGAAAAGTAAGTCGCCTTCTTTATTTTACACATGTCCTTAAAAAAATGACCGGTGAAATCAATATTTGAACAAAAAAAGTTGTAAATCAAAAAAGTGGTAACCAACCCCAAAAAATTGTATCCAAACTCAAAAACTTGTAATTCAAAAAAGATTGTAACCTAACTTCAAATATTGTAACATACCCTTAAAAAGTTTGAAACTCAACCCCAAAAATTGTAGCATATCCAAAAAGTTGAAACTCAATTCATAAAAGTTGTAACTCATCACAGAAAAATTGTAACCTCACCATTAAAGTTGTAACCAACCCCAAAAAGTTAAAATTTCATCTCAAAAAATTAGAACTCCACTCCAAAAGTTGGAACCCCACCCCAAAAGGTTGGAAACACAATCCNTGGGTTGGGACGTTGCGATGCTCAATTTAGTCACCAACTAGCATAATTTTGAAAAACGTCCATCACATAATGGCATTAGAAGGCATCATTTCTGTTACAGGCCGATATAACAGATAGAATAAAATTGATATCCATAATGGTCATTAACGGGTTGTAATGGTTGTTACCGGGTGTAACAGGTTTACCGATGACAATTTTTGCTAAATTTTTGCCCATTTCCTAATTTTTCTCAAAAAATTGAAACGATTCTCAAAAAACCCCCAAAATTGCAAGCCTTGCCGAGATAAACCACAGTTTTCAATCAAATCAATTGGGTTGGTAAATAATAGCAAAAAAAATTAGTTTGGTAAGAAAAATCACACAAAATTGATGGAGCTCATGCATAAATATTGATATCACGGTCTTCTTCGATAACGACCCTAATCTTTTCAACCCGCGTTTCAAAGTCTTTTTGCCATTGGCACCATGCATTGGCCATAAAACCCCTTTATTTCTTGGAGTTTACAGACAAAGAAAGTGGTTTCCTCCGTAGTTTATTCTTCCTTTTAGTTTAGTTCAAAAACTACAGCTTATTGGGCCGTAGACAATGGGTAGGCACTGAGAAAGAGATATATATGAATAAAACAACATTTTGCATTTTTGCAAAAGAAGGGTATCGAAAAGTAAGTCGCCTTCTTTATTTTACACATGTCCTTAAAAAAATGACCGGTGAAATCAATATTTGAACAAAAAAAGTTGTAAATCAAAAAAGTGGTAACCAACCCCAAAAAATTGTATCCAAACTCAAAAACTTGTAATTCAAAAAAGATTGTAACCTAACTTCAAATATTGTAACATACCCTTAAAAAGTTTGAAACTCAACCCCAAAAATTGTAGCATATCCAAAAAGTTGAAACTCAATTCATAAAAGTTGTAACCCATCACAAAAAAATTGTAACCTCACCATTAAAGTTGTAACCAACCCCAAAAAGTTAAAATTTCATCTCAAAAAGTTAGAACTCCACTCCAAAAGTTGGAACCCCACCCCAAAAGGTTGGAAACACAATCCCAAAAAATTTTAACCCAACCCCAAAAATTGTACCATATTCCAAAAGTTTGAGACTCAATCAATAAAAATTGTAACCCAACCTATAAAAAAGTTGGAACACCACCGTTACCCACCTTGTAATCAAATAATTTGATGAATTAAATATTAATTTAGTGTTAATTATGTAAGGGGCACGGTTTATTTCCTCCCCTAATTTCTTTATAATTTTGTTATTAATAAATTTTGCCCTACATGGGTTTAACTTAAAAAAAAAAAAGATAAATGAGTATTTATTGGGTGAATTTAATTTTAAATAGGTGATATTGAATGTTAATTCAACGAATTTATTAAATGAAATTGGATGTTAATTTGGTGTTGATTTAATGAATTAAATGTTTATTTGATAAAATTGCATATAATTTTGGATAATTTTGGATGTGAATTTGATGAATTGAGTGTTAGTTGGATAAATTGAATGTTGATTTATTGCTAATTTGATGAATTAAATATTAATTACGTTAAATTAAAAGTTAATTTAGTGTAAATTTGATGAATTCAATATTAATTGAATGAAATTGCATGTTACTTTAATTTTGATTTGATAAATTGAATGTTTATTGGATGATTTTGGATGTTAATTAGACTAATCGAGTGTTAATTGAATGAATTTGAATATAAATTGGATGAATTGAATATTAATTTGATAAATTAAATATTAATTGGATGAGATTTAATGTTAACTTGATGAATTAAATGTTTATTAGTTGAATTTGAATGTTAATTTGATGAATTAAATATTTATTAGATGAAGTTGAACGTTAATTTGGTGTAAATTTGATGAATTGAATATTAATTGGATTATCAGTTTGGTTTTGATTTGATAAATTGAATCTTTATTGGATGATTTTTGGATATTAAATGTTTGTATGAGACTATTTAAACACAAATAAAATTTAGAGATTAAATTAAAAAATTAATACTTTAGGGACCAAACTAATAAATGTGTAAAACTTTAGGGATGAAAGTGTAATTCTTGGTTTACTAAATTCCTACTGATCGTACAGTCGATCTAATATTAACAAAAAAAAAGTTAATTACATTTTTATCCTTAAAGTTATTAGTATTTGTCAGTTTGATTACTAAAGTAATAATTTATCAATTTAATTTCTAAAATATTTAATTTTGTGTTTAAATAAGTACCAGATGAACCTTTANATGAAAGTGTAATTCTTGGTTTACTAAATTCCTACTGATCGTACAGTCGATCTAATATTAACAAAAAAAAAAGTTAATTACATTTTTATCCTTAAAGTTATTAGTATTTGTCAGTTTGATTACTAAAGTAATAATTTATCAATTTAATTTCTAAAATATTTAATTTTGTGTTTAAATAAGTACCAGATGAACCTTTAAAATAAAAAAAAATCATCCAATTAAAATTAAATTTATGAAATCAAAATCATAATAACATGCAATTTAATTCAATTAATAATATATTTATCAAATTTACACCAAATTAACATTCAGTTTTTCAGATCAACATTCAAAATTCGACNTGCCAGATGAACCTTTAAAATAAAAAAAATCATCCAATTAAAATTAAATTTATGAAATCAAAATCATAATAACATGCAATTTAATTCAATTAATAATATATTCATCAAATTTACACCAAATTAACATTCAGTTTTTCAGATCAACATTCAAAATTCGACTAATAAACATTTTTAATTCATCAACTGAATATTCAATCTCATCAAATTAATTTAGATGTGACTGACAATTTTTTCCTTCTCATGAGTTCTTCACCAAAACAACACCAAATCGCACGTGAGCCACCAGATTTAGTTCAAAAGCCACAACCTTCTTTTGCATCACTATTCAAAAATCATCCCCAGCCAGTTTCGAATGACAATACAACAACTAAGCTTGATAAACCATTGGTATTTTATAAAGGGGAGCCATCTTTTTATTTCAACAATGAGGAGGTAAGGGACTCATGTCAATCTTTGCAATATGTTTTGATCGGTAAATGTTACTATGGTAGACCTTCTCTAGGGGTGATTAAGGAGGTCATAAGATCCAAATGGCATCTCAAAGGGGATTTTGAATTGGGTTCGCTTGATTAAAGGCATATTCTTATCAGGTTTCAACTTCAAGAAGACTATCTCAAGACTTGGTTAAATGATGCAACGTTGATTGAGGATTACTTGTTCCGTTTCTTCAAGTGGTTCTCAGGTTTTGTATCAGGGATAGAGCCTTCTATAGTGCCCATGTGGATCTCTTTACCAGGCTTACCATTGAACTTCTTCAAGAAGAATTTTTTAGAAGTCCTAACCAAGCCTGTAGGGAGAGTTTTGGCATATGATCAAGCCACATTATCCTTGTCACGTCCTGGGGTTGCTAGGGTATGCGTGGAGGTCAATCTATTGGCTTACAATCCATCTCGCATATGGTTAGACATGGGTGATGAAGGGGCTCGTTCGCAAAGAATTGTATATGAAAGAAACAAGCAGTACAACAAATCTTGCAAAAAGTAAGGCCATGGCAAGGAAGAATGTCGAAAAAGGAAGGTGCATGTGAAATCGGAGGAGGCAAAAGGAAAGGATTTACTTTCTAGAGAAGAGGAGGTCGCTAAGGCAATTTCGGGGAGCACAAAAGGAAAGCTTGGACAGCAGAATATTGAGAATGTTGGACAGAGAAAGTTTCCTCCTCAATCAAAACATCAAAATATAGCACATCAAACAAATAGTGTTTGGAAACCGCAATCTAAGAAGAATCAAATCGAAAGCGAAATGGAAAATTTGGATATGGCTCAAAAGGAAACATTAGCTATGATGCACAAAACTTTTAAAGTGGATGGCGTAATTAAAGTACTTGAAAAAAGCGAACATTCGGGGAAAGATACTCGCACAGACTGCACTCAGGAAGGCAATAATTCGGATTTGGAAAGAAATAATCCTTCCGGGGATAAGGAGCCAATCAATCTGCTTGATACAGTGGAAGAGAATCAGGTGACAGATAAGGAAGCTATTGCTGCAACTATGGAGAAAAGGAATGATCTACACGGTGGTATTGTTCTAAAAGAAGGTCGGTGCTTGTTGAATAAACAAGGTGTCTTGGATAGTGATTCTACCTTCTTAGTGGACCATGATCATGATTATGTTTGCGCTGAGAACTTTGGGGGCTCTTTAGATGACGAAAGGGGTTTATACAGTACTAAGGAACCTCCTGATAGGGGTTTCCACTCTGAGGAGGATGTTGTTGCATGTCTGGAATGTAGTGAAGTGGAGTCTTAATTCAGATAAAGATGAGTCCATGTTCTTGATTCAAGTTATGTTGGATTATGGTCCTTGTTCTTTGATTGAATCTTTGTCAGTGGATGTTGTGCCGAAGTCCATTACTCAAGAAATGGTGGCAGAAGTGCATAAGAATATTCATAGTCAAGGAGATATTATTATCCCAAGCATGTCAAGAGAAGAGATTTACAAATCCTTAAAGCTACAGAGAATTTGTTCCAAGGATGACTATGTTAAGGAGTATTCTCTTCACAAGCACGCAAGAGGTTTTTACTCCGATGGTGAGGAGGAGACTTTGACTTGAGAAGATGATTTTAATTCTTTTATGGCATTGTCCAAAAAATTACTGTCAATACTCAATAAGATTAAGCTAAAGAAGAAGAGAAGCGTTGGTGTTGAAAAATATCTCAGCTGTGGAAAATTCAGCAATAATGACNAAATGATTTTAATTCTTTTATGGCATTGTCCAAAAAATTACTGTCAATACTCAATAAGATTAAGCTAAAGAAGGAGAGAAGCGTTGGTGTTGAAAAATATCTCAGCTGTGGAAAATTCAGCAATAATGACTAGGTCCAATTCCAAGCTAGCCTTCAAAATTCCAAAGCAAAAGAATCCATGCGGATTTAGGCGTTAAATGGAGGATTTTCAGCTACTTCATTGAAGATTTTCAGGAATTTTTATTCTCTTTTAATCATTTTGAAAGGTATGCAGGCGTTGGAAATACTCTTCTCTTTTCGGTGGATTCTTCTTCAGCAGCAGCCTTCAAGCAATTTACTCACTACTTATCTGCTCAAACAGATTACTTACAGCTTATCTCCTTTCTCGATTGGACTCCTTGCTGCAACGTTCAGTTGCACTTTTTTAAATCCAAATGCAGAATACTTGATCAGCATCTAGGCGCTGATTTCCACATCAGTTTGTTATCTACTTTGCTCAATCAACTTCCTCTTTTAGCTGGACACTACTTTGGCAGCTACATGGATTTTATTCCAGCTGAGTTTTATTTGAGCTGGACTCTATCAGCAGGGATCAGTGAAATTAAACACCAGCTGGACTCTTCTGTGTTATACTTCAGCTACATTAATGACGATCGAGGTTCAGCTGGAATTTGCTTCAACTGTATAAACAATTATCGATTTTAAGCATAGATTTATAATTGAAATTAAGAAAAATTGCTACTGAACTTTTGGCATAAACAATGATTATTAGAATATGATGTGAGCAAAATAATAACATGCATTTAAATAAATAGATAAAATATATAAACATGCAATTTATATAAACCAAATAAATAGATTTGGAATGAGTTGGCTTGCGAGTCCGAGAGACGTGTGTGATCACTGTCCTAAAACAGTTGAGTCTCCCCACGTGAAAGTACTGATGAACACCAACGATTCTAAGATCCAACTCAGACACTCGCAGCAGCACCTTCTTAATGGTCATGTCCACTGGAAGGTAGGAATGAACCTGAGTTGAATCGAGTTGCCTAAAAATAAAATAATATATGATAATTGAAAAAGGTAGGTTAAATATAAAAGAAGTGACATGAGCAATTGGAAAAATCTCGTGGAGTGTTGCATACATTGCTTATCAAAGGATTTCTCAAAACCACTTTATATAGCCATTGTGTGTAACCTACACATGATGACTTTCAATGTTTTTGACTGCTGGCCTACACGTGTAACCTACAATGATATATTTTCAATGGATTTGACTGTTTGACTTGTATAGCTATAAAACAAAATTTAGGGTCAATACTTATTATTCTTTAATATACACACTAAATAGGACCAAAACAATTTGCAACTGAAATTCACAATTTAAACATAATTAAAATGGAGATTAAATAAAAGTTTTAAAAACTTAATTTTATTCTCACAATCCCCCATAAGTTTTTGAAACTTCAAAGTATCTCAAATATTTTGTATATACTTTAATATAGAAAATATGGACAACTATTATACTGTGTAATAGGTGTAGGTGTCTTCCGGATTTAAACTTCACTTAGTGCTAATAGTTTTCCTCTGAAGGATCATAGTGACCAAAGACTTGAATTAGATCCTTTGAACTAGAGTTCAACATGTCACATCCACAATACCGATATTGGTCAAGATTCGCAGGTCAGTGCTATTAAAGGTCTTGCACTTGATCTTGATTCTCATAAGAGTTTCTAGAAAATAGCCCAATTCTCATATTCGAGGCCTCACGCCTACTCTCACTTAGGTGAGCTCTCAAAGGGTACATGTGTATAATACCTTGCAGGAGTGTTCCTACCTCGGTCTCATTTAGGGCAAAACCCTGTCTTACCGTCGCACTACATATGCACTTTTGTCATAAGGATGAGCAAGAAAAATATCTCCTCTTGGATATTTCCTTAATAATAGTGCTAATGAGTCACGCAATATGAATTATTTCTACCCATTGAACTTCCTTCATGGGCTCCCCAATCACAGAAGTTGAGTTACCTCTCTAGGTGACTCCTTTGTGGGCTTAAGTCCATCCCCCTCGATAGTTCTGAGACAGCTTTTCTCGAAAGCCCTTTAGTTAGCTGATCAACTATATTAAACTCAGATTTCACAAAGTCTAGTGAGATTATACTTTTATTTAGAATTTTTTTTATTGATTTATATCTCACTTGTATATGTCTATTCATCTTTTTATTATAATGATTTTGCTTTACAAGCTCAATCACTATCTTACTATCATAGTGTAATGAAATGGCAGGAATAGGTTTTTCCACTAGAGGTATCTCTAGTAATAAATTCTTTATCCACTCAGCCTCAGCACACGTGGTATCTAAGGCTATAAGTTTTGATTTCATAGTACTTCTTGATATTAGAGTTTGTTTTTTAGATCCCCAAGATATGGTTGCTCCTCCTAACAAAAAAACATAGCCAGTAGTAGATTTTATATCTAAATTATCGGTGATCCAATTTGCATCACTAAAGCCCTCAATTACACTAGAAAATCCACTATAACATAAAAAGTAGTCTAAGGTTCCTTTAAGATACTTAAAGACTCTCTCTAAGGCAACTCAATGCTCTTTACTCGGACTATGTGTATATCTACTAAGTCTCCCTACGGCATATAAGATATTAGGTCTAGACTTATTTGGTATGTATAATAAAGATCCAATCATTTGTGAGTTCAATTGTAAAATCGGTTCTCCTTTATTTTTCTTCAAATATACATGAGGATCATATGGTGTTGATACAGATTTACTATCATAAAAACCAAAATTTTTCAACATTTTCTCTATGGTACTAGACTAACTTAGAGATATTCCATTAGATGTTTTCTCTATTTTCATTCCCAAGACTATATAGGCTTCTCCTAAGTCTTTCATATCAAACTTAGTAGATAAATAAGATTTAACATCATTAACGACCTCCAAGTTTGTCTCAAAAATTAGTATATCATCTACATAGAGACATAAAATCACACAACCAACATCACTATCCTTGTAGTATAAACATTTATCACTTTCATTAATTTGAAAAACATACTCTAGAATTACTTTATCAAACTTCTCATTCCACTGCTTGGGAGCTTGTTTAAGGTCATATAGAGACTTCACTAACTTACAAACCTTATGTTCTTGTCCTTTTACCATAAACCCCTCAGGTTGTTCCATATATATTTCTTCATCTAAATCCCCATTCAGAAAAGTGGACTTGACATCCATTTGATGTATTACTAAATTATGGATAGATGCTAGGGCTACTAGTATTTTAATGGTAGTAATACTAGTCACAAGCAAGCATGTATCAAAATAATCTATCCCTTTCTTTTGAATAAATCCTTTAGCCACCAATCTAGCTTTATATTTATCTATACTACCATCAGATTTTAGTTTCTTCTTAAATACCCACTTACATCCAATAACTTTGCTTCTAGGAGGCAATTCTACTATCTCCCAAGTATTATTTAGCAATACATATTCAATTTCACTATTAATAGCGTCCTTTCAAAAAGGTGCATCTATAGAGGACATAACTTCTTTATATGTCGTTGGCTCTCATTCTATTAGAAAAGTAAAAAATCATTCTCCTAAGTCCTTCTCTATTCTTGGTCTTTTACTTCTCCTTAGCTCTACTTGTTGTTCTATATTTTTCTCTATGGGAGCAATAGAACTAGTAGAAGGTTGATCACTAGTTGATGGTGTTTCTCTTACTTAACTAGGCATTGTATTTTTAAAAGGAAAAATATCTTCAAAAAATGTAGCATCTCTAAATTCAATTATAGTATTGTTTGAAATTCCACTAACTTCTGAGTTAATAACTAAGAATCTATTAGCACTACTATTTTGGGCATATCCTATAAAGACAATGTCTACGGTCTTAGGACCTATTTTCTTTCTCTTTGGTTCAGGAATAGCTACCTTAGCTAAACACCCCTACATTTTGATGATACTAAGGTTTGGAACTCTTCCCTTCCATATCTCACATGGATTTTTCTCATTATCTTTAACATATACTCTATTCAAGATGAAACAAGCACTAAGTATAACTTCTCCCCACAAATTATCAGATCAGCCAGAACTAGTCAACATTGAATTTACCATATCCCTTAAGGTTCTATTCTTTCTTTTAGCTACCTCATTTGATTGAGGAGAATAAGGAGGAGTCACTTCATGTATTATTCCATGTTCTTCACAAAATGTACTAAGGTCAGTTAGCGTATATTNTACCATCAGATTTTAGTTTCTTCTTAAATACCCACTTACATCCAATAACTTTGCTTCTAGGAGGCAATTCTACTATCTCCCAAGTATTATTTAGCAATACATATTCAATTTCACTATTAATAGCGTCCTTTCAAAAAGGTGCATCTATAGAGGACATAACTTCTTTATATGTCGTTGGCTCTCATTCTATTAGAAAAGTAAAAAATCATTCTCCTAAGTCCTTCTCTATTCTTGGTCTTTTACTTCTCCTTAGCTCTACTTGTTGTTCTATATTTTTCTCTATGGGAGCAATAGAACTAGTAGAAGGTTGATCACTAGTTGATGGTGTTTCTCTTACTTAACTAGGCATTGTATTTTTAAAAGGAAAAATATCTTCAAAAAATGTAGCATCTCTAAATTCAATTATAGTATTGTTTGAAATTCCACTAACTTCTGAGTTAATAACTAAGAATCTATTAGCACTACTATTTTGGGCATATCCTATAAAGACAATGTCTACGGTCTTAGGACCTATTTTCTTTCTCTTTGGTTCAGGAATAGCTACCTTAGCTAAACACCCCTACATTTTGATGATACTAAGGTTTGGAACTCTTCCCTTCCATATCTCACTTGGATTTTTCTCATTATCTTTAACATATACTCTATTCAAGATGAAACAAGCACTAAGTATAACTTTTCCCCACAAATTATCAGATCAGCCAGAACTAGTCAACATTGAATTTACCATATCCCTTAAGGTTCTATTCTTTCTTTTAGCTACCTCATTTGATTGAGGAGAATAAGGAGGAGTCACTTCATGTATTATTCCATGTTCTTCACAAAATGTACTAAGGTCAGTTAGCGTATATTGACCCCTTCTATCGGACCTTAGTCTTTTCACTTTTCTTTCTAATTGATTTTTAACCTCATTTTTATATATCTTAAAGTTATTAAATACTTCATCATTGTTCTTGATAAGATAAATATAACAACATTTAGAACATCATCTATAAAAGTCACAAAATATTTATTTTCAGCTCTTGTTGTCGGTCTACTAGAATCACATACATCACTATGTATAAGTTCTAGAAGTTGGGTATTACTTTCTATGCTTTAATGAGGTTTTCTAGTTTGTTTGGCTTGTACACAATCTTCACTAATGTTTAAAATCTAAATGAGATTTGGGAATAAGATTGAGATCCATCATTCTTTTGATTTTCTTTAGACTTGTGTGTCCTATTCTTCCATACCATACATTGCAAGATTCAACATTGAAAACTTGATGAGAAATTTCACTAGCTTCCGAAAGTACATTCAATTTAAATAAACCATCACAAACANAACACCCCTACATTTTGATGATACTAAGGTTTGGAACTCTTCCCTTCCATATCTCACTTGGATTTTTCTCATTATCTTTAACATATACTCTATTCAAGATGAAACAAGCACTAAGTATAACTTTTCCCCACAAAT